AAGTTTATAGAAATCAAGAGTAGCTCAAACTTATCGTTTTTTGCAATTAATAAATCAGAATGTTTCTGAACAAAGGTCTTTAATTATTAGCTATTATTTTCATTTGTCAAATATTTTAAACTAGTTTAGATTCAATAAAACTTTAATGCATTTAATTACATATATGTCATATATGGAAAGGAAAGAAAAAACATTTATAATTCAAATATGCTAAACAGATCTAACTGTATAAGTCTCTAGAAATATGAAGGCATTCTCTCCTTTCATTGTCATTTCCGGCCAAACCTAGGTCTTACCATACTGAACTTTTAAAAAGGCTTCCTTTCCTCGCTACCCTGTCATGGAGCCCTGCTTCTACCAAGTGGCAGAAGAATTGTGAATGTTTATACTTCTTTTAAAGTTAGTGAATTGGTCTTAACATTTTATTTTTTAGTAAAGAGCTTGAATTTCTGCAAGGTACAGTGTTTTAAAAACAGTTTAAAATATTCGGGAAACTTAAAACATAAGTGGGGTTATCAATAACAGGTAATCTATTCCACAATGTAGGTGAATCTATTGTGGACTGTCATGCCCTTATCCATCTCGTCTTTTTGTATGGCACAACACTAATAAACTCTGTTAAAGAAAATGAACTTCATTATCACCTCTATCTATCAATACACACAAACATACACACGTATGTAGGCAGTACAGATCTATTTTTCACAGATGCTTATTTATTTCTAGGCATCAAATTTATTTTGTGCAGATTATTATGAATAAACGTGTCTTTAAAAATTACAAACTCATTTTTATATAAAAGTAATGCATGCACAAAAAAATTTCACACACTTTATTAAAGTATGAAAATGCAAGCTAAAAACTTCCTCTCCTCTTACTTACCACACTTACAATAAACCTAACTGCTAGACTCAGCCCCACTTCCCAGATAACCTCCTGTTAAACTTCTGCTGTATCACAATATTTAAGCATATATGCAGAACTTCAGGAAACACTTATTGATGATCACAGATGTGCCAGGCACTGATTTAGGTGTAAGATGAGGGGGTAAACAAAGAAAACCCTGTCCTTGCAGAATTTAATTTCCAGAGGACAAGCCATAAATACAGTAAAGTGTCATGTAGGCATGTCTCTTATGAAGAAAAACAACAGAGGGTAACATAGAATGATGTGGGGTGGGGGGTTAGGCTGTTTTAGATGGTGTGGTCAGGGACATTTAAGTAGAAAGCTGAACAAAGCGAAGGAGCAGACTTACGACATTTGGGGGGTAGATCAGTCCAGGCAGAGAAAAAAAGTCAAGGCCCTGAGATGGAAGCATTCTCAGAATGTCTGAGATAATAAGGGAGCTACCGTGGCTGGAGGAAAGCAAGGGTAGAAACGTGTTAAGAAATGAGGGTAGACAGGTGGTCAGGGACTAGCGCATATGTATATGTGCACAAATACTCCTTTTATAATTAAGTAAGACATACTTTTATAATTATGTGACATACATCTAGGGTCACAAACTTAAATGCCTATATGACTGAGGCAGATAATTTTAAATGCATGAGGTAGACGGGATGGAAAATGTGGTAAAATGGAGAGTGCATGCCCCTTTCAGAGAAAGTGGCTTCTACTTAGGCCCAGCTAACTGTCGAAATACACATGTGTGATGGTTAATTTTATGTGTCCACTTGGCAAGGCTATGGTACCCAGACATCTGGTCAGACACCAGTCCAGACGTTGCTGTAAAGGTAGTTGTTGGATGTGATTAATATTTAGATCAGTGTACGTTGAAGAAAGCCGACCACTCTCCATAACATGGGTGGGCCTCATCTAACCAATTGAAGGCTTTCAGTAAAAGACTGAGATCCTTAGGGAGAAGGGATTCTGCCTCTCAGGACTCATGACTGCACCCTCAACTCTTCCTTGCTTCTCCAGCCACTGGCTTGCCCTGCAGCTGTTAGGCTCGCCAGCCCCCACAACTGCATGAGCTAATTCCTTAAAACAAATCTCTCTCCTTGTATAGATACAGTCTACTGGCTCTGTTCCTCTGGAGAACCACGTCATAATCCTTAAGGGTCCCATGTCGGCAGATCCTGCAGTTTCTGACAATTAATATTTTTAAACAATATGTTGACTAAACAAAATATCCATGGGGAAGATTCTAATTTATTTTTTCACTATGAGAAACAATACTGCAATGAACATGGGATAATGATATTGTTTCCTAAGTTGGTTGGTGGTTTTTTAATTCTAAGTTTCAAGAAAGGTAAAATCCGAACACATGTTTCTGATAATGGTTCTCAAATGTGAACACTGCTGTCCTGGAAAAAAAATAAACTTTGTTGGTAGGTGATATAGTTGCTTTATTCTTTGAAGACCTCACTTCGCCCCACGGCCCTGCAAATGGCTAACTAAGATGCTGGGCCACTCCAGGTTGTCTCCAGTCACTGCCTTCACCATGGAGCTCTTAGATGGACGACCGCTCTGCAGAAGAAACTTTCAAGCTGAGGAAACTTTCTATGTGGTGTTAGATTTTATTGTTTATTTGGCAATTATTTACTGAAGGCCTGCCATATATAAAAAATAGAAGCCCTAGTAGAGGAATTAAGAGAAATATTCATATACAGAGAAGTATGAGGTGTGTAGCGTGAGAGAGCCACTGTGAAGAGCTACAGTAGTTAATTTTAGGTAGAATGACATCACTGCTGGTTGAGAAGATCACAAAAAGATTAACGGGTTAGTATTTAACTTGTGTTCTGAAGGCTCAGTAACAATCTGAGAGGCAGAGATGGAGTATTCCAGGAGGAATATCAGAGTGGGAAATTGTGGAGAGTGCCCAGGCAGCAGTGAACAATTCATTTTGGGAGTGCAGATAATAGTCAATTCACTATAACAAATATTTGTTGAGTGTCTACTATGTGTGAGGCAGTGTGCTGGTACCAGTGACACAAATATGAATGAAACCGGAAGGCAAAAAAGATAACTGGTGAAATATTAAATCAGAAATAGAGGCGGCAGCAATATCAAGGGTTCCTGAACGTTAGGTCAAAGAGTTTGGAATTTATTGTCCAGGTAATGGGGTATCATTAAATACTGCTGATGGCTGAGTAAGAGGTTGAAAATAATGTTTCAGGAATCTCAAGAGGAGTAAGGAATGGAGACAAGCAGGTGAAGAAGTAAGAAAAGCCTGGGCATTGAATTATACACATCTGGTCTAAGGTAGGAACTCTGCAAAATAAGACGGCAAAAGTAACAGCCACTGCAAGGAAAAATCTAGCAAAATTTGGTTACGGATTAAATTTGCAAAAAGGGAAAATCAAGGATTACCCATGTGGGAGGTCATGGGCACCTGTGGAACTCTAATAATGTTCTGAGAGCCATGACCAAGGAGAACACTTTACTTTTTTGTCTAACCAAATATAAAATTAAATTATTCTCAAGCTGATAGAAATATCATTAATAGATGGCAAGCCCCAGGACCTATAACTGGCAAGCCCAGTCTAACTCTGGGCTTTCTGCTAACCATGATGATTAAACTGCAAAGCATTTTGTTAACTGCTCCTAAAAGAGGAGACGGAGTCACTTTATAGAATAACAAGGAGCAGGTGAGAGCCATACATGCTGGATTTTAGTTTTATTCTTATAACTTACTTTAGTCTTATAACTTCAGAATAAGAGAAAATAGTGAAACCTGATAATGCAAAACCTGTCCTTCTGGATACAAAGTCAGAAGATAGAAAAATTTTTTGGTAGAAAAAGACTCTTTACTAACTTAGTTTTTGTCTTGTATCTTAAGAAAGCAAAACTTTCATGGTGATTTTTATCAATAATACTATTAACATATTTCCTTTGCACAATGCTTTACAGTTTTCAGAAAACATCCAAATTTTTTGATTTTCATAGTAAGTAGGCCAGATTTTCTCTCTTCACAGGTAAAGTATCTGACATTCAGAAGTTAAGTAACTTATTAATGTGACACTCCTTAAGTTGAGAAGAGGACAGAAAGAATCTTTAATAAGTACATTGCAATTCATTGGACACACATAAAATGCAAACTTTAAGGTTTTTTCTTTTGTTTTTTAAACCTCATTTTAATTTTCTTTTTGTGTTGCATGCCACAGCCATCGATAAATACATATGATGACTTGAACAGTAAAGGTGAAGTCAGCTGTACATTAAAAAGGCCTTGAAAATGGGTGCCACTTAATAGCATAACAAGACGGTTCTTGATTCTCAATAGGGCTAAACAAAAATTTAATCTACCTCATATGAGAGGGTGACAAATCTCACAAAATGTTGGAACTAGAAAATGCCGTCTTATTTTGCACAGTTCCCTAGTGTCAAAGTTAAAAAAACTGAAACCTAGAAAGCTTGGAGCTTGCCTACGTTAAAAAAAACTCTGATTAATGGCAAAGATGGAAGAATTCTGGTCTTCTTTTGTTCTTTTTATTACTGCTTTATAGTATGGTACCATACTCCACGGACAGCTCATTCCTATAGAAAATATAGATGTGACAAAATTTTTAAGTCATTGGGTAGTTGAACTAGCACAACTGATTAGAACACAGAATGAATGAGGTCAGGTTGGAGTGTTACCCCTCTCAATGAGAGATTTGCATCAAGAAAAATGTAGCTTTACGGCTAGAGTTGGCATGCTATCATCGCTGCTGTCTTATCAATACATAGTTCTGACTGAGAGACCATATGGTTCAATGAAAAATGATCACCACCATAAAAAAAAAAACAACACATAACAACCAGATCCTAGTGACACTAACATTTTTGATTGCTAAGGACAGCATATATACACATAAAAAGTAAAAGACATACTAAAGTTTATAAAAGGAATGTAAAACAATTAAGAATTTCACTCTCTTTTTGAGTATATTTTACATGGCCTCTATCTTTACGGCTTCTATGACTTTGAAATATATATTAGGAACCCAGTAAGCAGGGTTCACGTGTGTGCAGTTTTCACTACGTCAAACACATAGGCATCCTATTTAATTATTTAAAAAATACTAGCACAGTCATAGGAAACATACAACCTTAAAATATGGAGCATTTTATTCAATATTTTTGGTCTAAAATGTGAAATTTATTGTGTTCTGAAAGACATCCCAACTTCCTATGTGGAATCACACAAAATATAATAAAACTTTAAAACAAACTGCTGCTATTTTAAGTACATTAAACTCTAGTCTAGTGGCACTAAGCAACAGGATCTAATTCTCACCTACACACTTCACTTTATACTTTCTTTAAGCTAAAGGAAATAAAAGGAAGCACTCTAAAATCAGCAAACATTGAATCTGAAGCGTTCTTTCGATTAGAAGAGTTTGTTATTATTATGCCTCCTGAACCCAGGAATGCAGCACTACAGGTTTACAACAACAGGAAAAAAATCATTGCTAAATATAAGTCTAACCCTCAAAGTTTAAGATTCTTTCCTGATGAAACTGTTTAGCTTTAGACTAAGGAAGCTGTTGCAAATGAACTCAGCCTTCAGCACAGCAATAAAGAGGTGCTAATACTTTGCTAATAGCGCTTTTGTAATAAAGGAAATTTATTTTAAATCTTCATATTGTTACTCCTCTCCTGCTCTCCCTTCTGCCTGAATGTGAACGAGCTGTCAGCTCCACGGTAAGTTTCATATCCCACCCACCTCGCTTGCCCTGTCCCTAACTCTGCCAAAGGAAACACAGACCAGGAGTTCCTCTTCTTAGTACTCAAGTCTTGTAAAACTCAAAGGAAACAGACAGAAGAGAGAAACCCAGAAAAACATATTTCCGTATTCCTTATTTACACAGAGGGAAATGGACTGCTTACATAACAATAGCTTTGAGCGTAACCCAGCAAGAGAAAATGATTTTACGAAAAAAAAATGGAAAAGAATAAGGTCAATATCACTCACTGGTAGAATTAAAGGCAAGATAAGTGAAAGTCATCAGCATATTTTAATCTGCCCCTAAAACTAATAACCGATCATACATTCTCCTCTGCTCCAGCTGCTGGGAAGCTGAGAGCCAGATTCAGGGCTCATTCTTTTGGGGTTTCATGGTATACATGCAAGCTGTGTCCTGACTCGCTCCTGCTCTGGCTTACTGTCCTATTCCTATATTGTTCTTAATTATTGGTAGATACCTTTCTTTAATATGACAATATATGTTTGTATATGTAAGTGTAAAACTGATTCAAATAACTGAATACATTTTTTATTAAACTTTGCTAAACAAAATCGATTATCTATAAATTCTTTACACACACACACAACCACACACACACACATGAAAATTACAAAATTAGTCTTAGTTTTCTTCACAGAAAAACGGATTTTTTCCTTGTCCTCTATGACATAGCAAACTTTGAGAAAAAAAATCCTAATATTTCTATGAATTAGTTGTGTTTCATGTATGGATTTATAACCACCATCAATTCAGGTGTGTAACAAATTTTGTTTACTTTCACTTAAATCAGTTTAAGTCAGAATATGAGCTTCCAGGAAATTTAAGCTTTGTTGTTTCTGGTAATTGCCTCTCCGCTTCTAGAGTTTTATATCCCAGGGATCTTACCCCTATTCCATTTAAAATAAATTTCTGTATATCCCCACAGAATGTTCTCTGTACCTTTTTAAAAAAATGTGGTAAAATAACACAAAATGTACCATTTTAACCATTTTTAAGTGTACAAATGAGTGGCATAAAGTACAATCACAATGTTGCTCAGCCATCAGCACTATCCATTTCCAGAACTTTTTCACCACCCCAAATAGAAACTCGGTACCCATTAAACAATGACTCCCCTCTCTCTCCACACCCCAGCCCCTGGCCACTCCCCATTCCTCCCTTTTCCATGTCCCTTGGTAACCTCTACTCTACTTTTTGTCTCTATGAATTTGCCTATTCTAGGTACCTCACAGAAGTAGAATCACAAAATATTTGTCTTTTCCGTTTGGCTTATTTCACTTAGTATAATGTTTTTAAGGTTCATCCATGTTATAGCATGTATCAGAATTTCATTCCTTTTTATGGCTGAATAATATCACATTGTACATATACAGTACATTCTGTTTATCCATTATCTGTTGATGGACACTTGGGTGGTTTCCCCCTTTCGGCCAATGTGAACAATGCTGTCATGGACATTCGTGTACAACTATCTGCTTGAGCCCCTGCTTTCAATTCTTTTGGGGTATATACCTAGATGCGGAATTGCTGGATCATATGGGAATTCTGTTTAACTTTTTGAGGAATCACCAAACTGTTTTTCACAGTAGCTGCATCATTTTACGTTCCCATCAGCAATGCACGAAAGTTCTATGCACCTTTCTGTTTTGGTAGAAACGTGGATGTCCCTGAAGGATGCAACTTCCCTCATGTTTTTCTTGAGTGCACACCACACATTCTTCCACACATCACACATCGAATGGGTTTCTCCTTTTGATACATCCAGCTACATGTCACTTTATTTCAACATGTAGCTTTTATCTGTCCATTTTGGGGTCATTTTCTATTATGGCACTTACAGTGAATATCCCAAAATAGGCCAATATTTTCAGAGACAATATCTAAATTGGCATTCAGTTCTTTAGTTTCCTAAGTTTTGACTTCTTCACATCTAGTGACTCTCATCTCCTCCCAATTTCAACTACCCACTCTCAGGCAAGGCCTTCAACGTTGTCATTGCTCAGAACCGAGGGCTTCACCTCTGAGATCTTAAATAGCAACGTTCTACTTTCTGACTACAGCCTGCAATCCTTTCAGCTCTTGAATTTTCTTATTCTCCCTAGATTCACCCTATGATCTCCTCCAGATTTACGGTTTCTTGATTCCTCCTTTTTCTCTCAGCACGTCCCTTCAATTTTATTTCCTGCCCTGTTTAGCGTAGACTATCAGTCATCATTTAACAACTCTTTTGCTAGTGTGCCCTCAACCACTCTCCTCTCCACCATTTTAGTCCTGCAAATTCGTAATCCTGAATCATTTTGATCCTTTGCCTTCTGTGATGCTATACAAGGGCCGTGGAATGTGTTAAATTACACAACTGTACAAATTAGAGTTCATACAAATTTATGGCATCCACCCCCAGCTGAGACTTCAGGATCGCTAGACTTTGTTCTTCTCGCCCATATGCAGCTCTCTCTCCCATCCCCTTCAGTAGAAACCCTTGGTTATTCCTTTCAAAGCCTCCTGCCCTCTCACTTCAGAAGCCCATGGCGACCTTTACTTTGCAGGAAAAAACATGGAGCCATTAATTGTGAGCTGAAATTTATTCACATTCACAGCTAATCTTATCCCCCTCACTCTGTCTCTGAGCACAGGGTGACCACTTTCCTGTTCAAGGCAAACTCTTCTGCAGACTGAATTTCACCTCTTCCTACTTTTCTAGGAATCTTTTTCCATAACAATTCTATTTGCTCCTTCCAATTAATCATAAACATGCTCAACTATCTGTCATTTTTCAAAAACAAAAGCAAAATCCTTAACCCACCTTCCCTCCTTCTCAATTATCATTAACATCTTTCTTATTCAAGACCACTGAACAAGGTCTTCAAGGACCACAGTACTGTTCAAACTGCCACGCTTCTTTGCTTCTTAATCACTCTTTAATTCACGGAAAACTGGCTTCTATTTCTAATGCTCTATTAAAGCTTCTCTTGTGGAGGTCACTAATGACTACCTCATTTCAAACAAAAAGAATACTTTTTGTCCTTATCTTAACTATTTAGCAACATTTGACCCTTCTTTTTGGAACTTTCCTTCCCAGTATATCGTTAGTGGTATTACAGTTTTTGATCCTGCTCCTACCTCACGGACTTCTTGCTGTAAAAAGAAATTTATCTTAACATTGGTTGAGCACTAACAACCAGCCAAATACTGTGCTAAGGACTGATATGCTTACAACACCTCTACGAGGTAGGTACTATAATTCTCATCTTACAAAGAGGAAGTGGTCTCGGAGAGGTTCATTTCTATAAGCTCACACACAGCAGGGCTGTCTAAGCCCGGCAGCTTTACTACACTACCAGCAAATTTTATTTAAAAAGTAGCAGTGAGAGGGGTACTTCTGAAGTATAGCTTTGGGCCAATAATTAACTCTTTATTTAGAGGAGATTATTTAATTCTGTAAGATTCATAGATTTAAAAAAGTCTTTGAAAAACAAATATTTTAGTTTTTCAATTTTTAAAAACCTTTCAATAATCTCCTACAATTCAGCAAAGAGAAGGAGGTCAAGAACTGGCATCAAGGTTTGTTTTTCAGGAAGTAATATCAATTCATGCGAGATTATCACACACCTCCAGGAATTCTAGGACAGTCACTTTATCAACAGAGCGCGTGTAGTCCTACCTCACAAAGACGGCAGAAGGTTTCATAAAAACTCTCCCTATCAATGGGGTGAAGCTACTACGTACCACACTGCAACATACAAGGTCTGGGCTCAAATCACACAGTACTCGTAAGTCTTAGTAAACGGTTTCATATGTGCCTCTGTATTCTACCCAGAAGAGACCCTCATTTAATGCAGCTAACTGAAGTGTGCAAGTAAGGCAGTGACTCTCAAACTTGCTGCACATGGGAATTTCTGGGAGCTTTACAACACACTGACAGGTGAGTCCTACCCCAAGAGACGCTGATGTAATGGGCCTGGGATGAGATGGGATGGGATGGGGATCAGGATTCTCAGAGGCTCCTCAGGGGCTTCTAATACACAGCCTCAGGTGAGAACAACTAGCCTAAAATACAGAGGAAAGACTGTCATATTCACTCGATACTGAAAAAAAAAGGGTAGGTGGATGGATGTCTTCATCCACCATCCGGGTTCTGCTTACTTACATGCTGGCACACAGACACTGATTCTAACTGCAAGCAAATGCTTCCCCACAGTCCATCATCAACCAAACATAGTTGGCATCTGACAACTGTATTCGCTTCCTAGGGCTGCTGTAACAAAGCACCACAAACTAGGGGCTTAAGACAACACAAATGTGTTGCCACACAGTTCTGGAGGCTACATGTCCAAAATCAAGGTGTCCCTTTGACGGCTGTAAAGGAGAATCCTCCCACGCCTCTTCCAGCTCTTGGTTTGCTCTGATCCTTGGCTTTCTTTGGCTTGTAGATGCATCACTCTAGGCACAAGGTTGACTTCTCCATGTGTCTTCATAAAGTCTACCCTCTACGCATGTGTCTCTGTGTCCAAATTTCCACTTTTCATAAGCACATTGTCATATTGGGTTAGAGCCCATGCTAATGACCTCATTTTAACTTGGTTACCTCCGTAAAGACCCTATTTCCAAGAAAGTCACATCCTGAAGTACTAGGGGGTTAGGACTTCAACATACCTTTTTTGAGGGACCCAATTCAACCTATGACAATAACCAACTACTGTGTCAGTAGCACTGCTCCAAAACAAGGGTTCTTAACTTGGTGATGGGAAAAAAATTCATCTTTGTTATTCACTAACTCTCATGTAAATACAGCACTTCCTGCAATTATGAACATAGGAACAAACTACAGTGGTATTATTAGTGGCCCTTGAGAGTCTGTGCCCACAGAAACCACTGGCACTTTCATGTCACATCTCACTGTTTGCACTTATCCCCAAAAATACCATTTAAAATCATCTACTTCGACTACTTTGAAGTTACAGTTGTTAGTAGATTGGCTGTTAGATCTAGTTATTTAATGTATTAATAACGACTCATGTATACAGCAATGACGTGATACTTTCATAATTGCATTTCAATAAAACTGATTTTGTTATAATTGCACTTTACGCACTTAACAATATTATCCTGAGAAGAGGGGTCAAATTAAGAAAAAAAATCTTTCAATAACCTACAGCCCTCAGTTAAGTGAATTCTTACATTTCAGACTTCAGTTTTTTTAAATCTTAGTAAGTATCAAAGAATATACAGGGCCTTGTACATCATTTTCCAAACCCCCCCTTTTTCTTCACCATGATCCACTGTGAGAATACATATTTTACACATAGCACAGTACACAATCTTATCTCTCTCACACAACACAAAACTGAAACAAAAGTATCACAAAACAATCTTTACCCTCACTGCAGGAAATGCACACTGACATTTTCTATTCTATTTCGTTCATTAAAAAATACTAGTGTGACCTACTGAATTAATTCCACAACTACTCTTGAAGCATAAATTAAATAAGTCTTAAAAATCTTTAGTGGCATTCCTTTAGAAACATCTCATATTCTACAATAATAGGTGAAAGGCTGTTATCACTGCTATTCAGCTACTATTTTAAAAACACTTTTCATCACTTTAGAGGTGGCACGTAGATGAGCAAATAGTTCAGTGGCTAATCAGGCTCCATTTAGACAACTGGTGATGAGTTACGTAAATTTTGTAATTCTGATGGGAGTCTAAACTTAAACTTCACCAAATGCAGGAAAGAAAAGATGTAGAATAATGAATATTTTATGCCTGAATTATTTTAAAAGGAAAAAAATGTTTTCAGTGCATAATGTTTCATTTCATAGAGGTGTTTCTTCATCTGCCACTGTAAAATCAGGCAGAAACGTTTCCCAAACTGATGGCAATCCTTGAAGCCCGGGCGGAAAGAATCTTACCTGTAGTAAACCCGAAGTGTCTGGATTTCTTCTTCCAGTTGTTTGTACTGTTGAACTGCAGTTTCCCTGGCTTGTTGCATAGCTACCAACTTTGCCTACAAGTAATTAATATTTTAAGAAATTTAATATTAGTTTGGTACATTGAAATAGAGTAGTATGAACAGGAGTTTTAAATTTCTGGTAGTTTAAAACCTATCAGTATTTTTAGCAGTGTTTCGTAATTTCCCACAAAATAATCCAATTATATTAATAATAGAAACGCTCAAGACATGAACATATTAAATTCACCAACTTTGCTCAGTACTGAACTTCAACCTTATTCATCTGTATCATCAGATATACGCCCTTCTGCAATGTTTAACTTTATACACAGAATTCAGAATGTGGAACAGGGGTTCAGAGCACTATCTAGAGTAGAGATAAGCACAATGGGTATTTCACATACAAATTTAATGTGGCTCCAGTGCTGATCACACTAGATTTTCCTTTAACTTTATTAATAGTAAAACTCAGAAAATTCTAAATATGTTGTTAAGCCATCTTTGATATTTAACGTGAAAAAAAATACACGACTACAACCCGATTCTTAGATATGATTTAACCTTTCAATTCCTTTTCTGCAAGAAAAAAAATCTCTAAAAGGAAAAGGGCAGCTATCCTGGATGTTAGAAATATTTTATTCAAGGGATGTTACTGTTCCTCTCTGCCTACAATATTCAAATTTTACAGGGCCTGCAAGTGGCTTTTCAATAGGTTCAAACTAGTAATTTAAAAAGAATTGCCACCATCCAATCATCACTCCCATTGGATTTCAGGCATAGATCAAAAGAGTTTTCAACATAACTTTTAAAAAATATGGTCCTGATAAGTCAGGTTTCAGTTTTGTTTATTTAAAGTATAATTCGCACGAATAGGTTGTCTTCCACTTAAATGGTGTCTGATAGATAATAAAGACTAAATTGCTAGCACACCTCACAAACTACACTAATGGCAATAATTAAAAAGCAATTGAAAGTTTGAAGACAGAAGTTTACTAATTTTGCTGAATTCATGATTTCACTGGAATTATTTTCTTGCATAAGAATGAAGTCACAGATCGTGAAATCTTGATCATAGGAAAATAAGTTAGTGTAATACAAGTGAACACTAGACGGTGCCACTTTTCTATTTTAATAGTGGTAAATTATAAAAACATGCAGCAGTTTGGATCTTTGTATATAAATTTAGGCACTAAATTAATTAATTTGTTCTCTATCTGGGCTAGCAAATTCTAACAAAGAGCTACTTTTTAATTAATTTAAGATGTTTGAGTGCTTGCTTTAACATGCTATATTCTAGAATTATTGTTGAAACATTCTCAAAAATTATTAAAAAGCATTTAAAATAAAAATAGGTGGCTGGCTCTTGATGTCAATAATTAACAGCTTTGCCAGTTTTCAGTATGCTATAAAATGTGGTTGAAATGGTAACTTGGAAGACGCAGATGCACACTGTGACGAATGGCAAGTCAAAAAAAAATCACAAAAATAGGACATACCACTTTCAACTTACAAAACATCGGATATCCTATTGCATGTATTTAAAGAATATCAAATATTGGGCAGGTAATAGAGAATTTGCTAAACAAATATGTGACAATGCTAAATACCTTAGATGAGTATTTTGAAGTTTTTTTCCTGCAAACAAAAAAACAACCAAAACAAAATACCCCAAAACCAAAAACCAAAACCAACAATGTCCTAGCAGGAAAATGCCATAACGAAGATTCCGCCTAAGAAATTTCTGCAGTGAAAATGAGGTCATGAAAACTTCAAATTCCTGCGCTTCAGGTAATATTGTACATTTCACTCTTCCTTCCACAGTCTGGTGGCTGGCACGAAATTTACCAACTCTAATTAATATAACTTAGTCAAACATTTGCTTATGGTTGGCTATGAAGATTTGGTGTTGCTTAACAATCCACTTCATTTATTAATTCCAAATGCCTTATCTTCTGTCGAGGCCCTGCTGACTATGTTCAGAGCCATTATAACCCTTCTGGCTCGACAACCTCCTTCCCCTACTTTATCAGATATATTCTTATCTGTCCAGCAGCTCCTTTTTGGGGAAATAGTCTTACCCTCTGTCACAGTGATCCTGTTCAGTCCTGGTGGCTAGGATGAACTTCCTTCGCCACCGCCTCAGGTATACATGACCCAGGTTGCTCAAACAGAATAGTCCATCCCACTAGCCCCAGAGGAAAACCGAATCCTGATGACATCATTTGCACTCCTGGATCTCGGTATGCCAGACACATTCAGATCCATTCTTGGACTTTCTGGGTACATAAATCCTTTTTTTGTTGGCTTAGGCTGGTTTGAGTCGGATTTATGTTACACGTAACGTAATAAAACTAATTTAAACGTGCGGTTTACTTCTACTGCATTTCCTAGTTTCATCATTAATATACAATTCCATCACACTGCAAGTCAAAAATAAATTTCATATCGCAAACATTAAGGAAATTAGCAAACAAGATGTTATTCCTGGTTTTTGGGAATATTAGTTCCATATTCCTGGCAATTAGTTCTATAAAAACTGGACTCATTCATTTATGTGTATGCTCACATAAAAAAATACATGCATTAAAAAATGACGAAATTCAAAGAGTGTAAGAAAACATACAACATAAAGTAAGTCTTGCTCCCACCTCCAACCTCAGTACCACAGATCCCCTCTCCTGAGATCACCAGTTACCTGTTTGTGCATCGTTCCAGAGACAATCTACACATATGGAAGCATGTGTGTACACTTGCAAATAAATACACCTATTTATGAAATTGACGGCATTCTTTACACACTGCAATAAATCTTGTTTTAAACTAAAAAAATAGTTTGCTATTTTGCTTCTTATTAAAACAAGAATCCTCCACCCCAATCTATGTGTCACACTCACTAGTCACATTTCCTTCCTTCCCTCCCACCTCCAAAGGGAAACACTTCCATGAATTTGGGCTTATTTTCAAGAATATTTTATACTTTTACTATATAGATATGTACTTATAAATAATACTCCATGTTATTTATAGGTTATCAAACTCTATATAAATGATATTCTACATATGTCACAGACAATTGTTTTCTTGGTCAGTATTTTACTCTTGGCTCATTCATATTGATGTATGTATGTATTTTGACAATACTTACATCATACATTGTGAAGGTGTGCATTACATTGTGATTTTTTCTTTACTTTTGTTTTTTTCTCTACTTAGAGTAGATTAAATTTTCTATATTCTCCTTTTTACTGTACTGTTTAGAAACTATATATTTATATTCCACCTTGAAATTTTGCTTAAAATACTTAAAAAAAATATTTTTGAGCAAAGCCTACAGTGAGTCAGAATTTCTATATATAATCATAATTTTAGGTAAACATTTTACACAAGTATAATACTTTTTCTACTTATAGTTATGCTTTGAGGTAAAATTAAAACATGTATGACATATCATCTAAGTATATCCATTGATGAAATTTTTAGGGTCAGGCTTATTGAGTTATAATTTACACAAAGTAAAAATTCACCCATTTTGATGCACATTTGTGTAAATTTTGACAACTTTATATAGTCGTGTAATAACCAAGATATAGAATATTTCCATCACCCCAAAATGCTCCCTTGTGTACCACTGCAGTCCATGCCCTCCCTTTTACACCCCGCCCCTGGCAACCACTTACGTGATTCTTATTCCTACAGTTTTGCCTTTTCTAGAATGTCATAAAAATGGAATCATATAGTAGACAGGCTTTTGAATTTGGCTTCTTTCACTTACTCTAACGCTTTTGGGATTCATTCATATTATTACATGTATCAGTGGTTCATTCCTTTATATCACTCAGTAGTATTCCCTTGTATGGATGTGCCAAATGCACAGCCATTCACCAGTTGAACAATTGAGTAGTTTCTAATTTTTGGCCATTATTAATAAAGCAGGTATAAACACTTGCATATAGGTCATTTTGTGGAAATATACCTTCATTTCTCTTAGGTAAATACCAAGGAGGGGTATTTTTGGGTCTTATCATAAGCGTGTATGTGTTTATACATATATATGTGTATATATATATATATATATATATTACAAAGTTATATATATTATGAGGAAACTGCCAAACTTGCTGCCTAAATTGATAAAACTTTAAAGCATCTGTGCTTAACTACAATAGCAACACCACTTGTGAATTCCTACTATGAGCTGCGTGTTGTACCAAGTGCTTGAAGTAAATTACTATAGTCTATCCTCGCAACCAACCTGTGAGCTAATTCCTATTATTCCTATTTTACAGGTGATAATAGTGACTGATAGGACTCAAATACAAATTCAGGCCTGTTTGGTACAAAACACCTATTTCCCTCTTACACCACACTATACAACATTCTGGGAGATTATATATATACGTTAAATCGATCGATACTCTATCGTCAAGAACATATGCCAGACCACAAAAGTACTTATTCAGGAATTTGAAAAACAATACAAATGTATGGGCTCATAAGCGCTTGGTTAATTTGTAAAGGTCACAGCCATACTTGCAGGAGAAAGGACAAGCAGAGATGTACCAGATCCTTCTGAGCATGCCGCCTTTTACACATCACTCAAACCTTTCCACATGTAATTGTACTTTTTGTTCTTTAGTCTGACTCCTCAAAAACTTCATTCCAGTCTCCCTCCATACTCCACCCAAACTCAGCCCAAGGTAACAATGCAAGAAACTTGTTGCAGTCTTTCTGATAATTATGTGCATTATTTGTATTCAGTTCGGATCCGGAGAATGCTATTGGCACGAAGGAGCCTTGTAACCGGGAGTCGTCTGTGGATTTAGTCTCAGTAATGGGAACAACTGGGAGTCACGACTGTATTTAACCTTAGCTGCATCTTCTGCTTCTCTAAGGAACGTTCAAACTGTGTTGCTGCCTCACGTCTCCCCAACAGTCGTAGGACTTAAACATTCCGCTGCTTATTCCACCAAAATTTGCCTATAAAAACATTTGTCTTCTTGACTAAGACGTGCTCTTCTAAATCCACTAATTTTACTACTGTAACAAAAAATATTCTAAGCATCTATAGTCACAATTATATTTTCAAAACTCCCTAAACAAATTTTATAAACTTGTCACCAGATTTCATTGATGCTAAGATACTACTGATTTTAAAACACACCATAATTTTATGTAGCAAAATTGTACCAATTATACTTCTAAGACACCACCTATTTTAACAAGCATATAGAAACCTTAAAAATGTGAAATGATTCTCAACCTAATATAGTTCCCTCCAAAACAGTAACACTCCCTTCTGAGAAATACCAAAATATCTTTTCCTGCCTGTAGCATGTGTTTTAAAATTTTTCACATCTCCTCACCCCACTCACACACAAAACCCATACCTTGTCCTTCCCTCTTGACTAGTGTTCTCTGTCAAACGAAGAGAACGGCAGCATTTGTGATGCTTTCTTTTGTTTTCTACGTAGGGAAAACCTTGAAGGATTGATTGCAATTTCCAATGGTGTACTCTCCAGTTTTTTCTCCTTCAGTTATGTGTCCTTTCATACTTACTTCCCAACCTGTAAAAAGTGTTGCTGAAAACAGCTGGAAGGAGCAGCTAAACTAGTCCCAGGTGAAACAATGGAATCAAATAATCATTTGATAACATCTATTGATAATAATAGAAGTTTATAGAATAATCAGTGCGTGTTTTACATCTTCAGTATCCTCTCACCGTACCTTAAAAAAAGTGTTTTCTTCTTGTGCTGTTATCTTTTCTTTTTGTTTCCAGTTTCATTAAGATGGAACTGACATATAACATTGTATCAGTTTTAGGTGTACAACACGATGATATGACGTATGTATATATTGAGAAATGATTACCACAATAATATTAGTCAATATCCATCACCTCACATAGTTACAATTTTTTTCTTGTGATATTAAGCTTTACTCTCCTAGAAACTTTCAAATATAGGATATAGTATTTTAACTTTAGTTACTATGCTGTACATTACATCCCCAGAACTTTATTTACCTTAAGTGAATGAAAAAAAGGTTGGTTAACTAATATGAGGTTAGTCTGATAATTAAATATCTCTTGTTCTTAAACTCTCTCTTGGGCAATGCCATCTAAATAGGACAACTATTTGTACTGCTACTGTCTTAGAGATGAACTACATTGTTTCCTCAGAGTTTTATCTAGTAATTTAGAATGATGGACAATAAAGACTACACTGCTCACATCACCGAGCATTATTTGTTATGGATATTGTGGAGAAACTACTTTTATCTTATTTTAAAATCTTGTTATGTTTGGTTTGAATGTGTTTTTAATAGTAATAGTCTGATATAGTTAAGCCTTCCTTTGGCAACTCCAAGACCATTAATGGAAATCTGTTTTTATCAGAGAACAGAGGCATTTGATCTTATGCATGATATCTGCTAAATAAAGAAACATACAGTACATATTAAATCACAGAACCAAATATGTCAGATATGAAAAGGATCTTAGAGGTAATATAGTCCCCTGTTTTTACAGGTGAGGAAATTATTCCTAATACAACTGTTTAGGGAACCATTTGGAAATTGTCCAAAGTTTCATAGCTGGTTAGAAGGAAAGTTGGAATTTGAATACAAGTATCCAGAAAACATTGCTTATTCTACTATACAGACTGCATTTTAATATGGTATAATTTAGTGTGTGTGTTAATTGTTTTAACAGAATTGTTTTACAGAGCAACCAAAAATATATAGACTGTGTTACACTATTGAACACATCTGGAAGATATTTAATTTGATATTTTCAAACAATAGGTTTAATTAGACAATTGCTCAAAGAATATGACTATAGCCATCCTAGTATTTGACTTTTAAACCTCAGAAGCAGTTTAAGAATCTAGTAAAGTTAACTAAATATCTTGCAAAAAGGTATCCAAAACAATTTAAAGCTATTATTAGGAGGGTTAAAATGACCAGATTTCAATCACACCTCCCCTTCATAGGAAGATATGGATTGCTTACCACAGCATATTGCCACAGTGCACTGTTCTTTAAAGGTGATTCTTTAGAGGGTCTGTTTTGTCCTAAGGTAAAGCCTCTGAGACCAGGGATGATCAGACTCCTGACTCAGAAGCAGAAATATATGCACTGTCTACTGATCTGTGGTCTGACATGAGAGAGGGAAGAAAGCAGTTCATAATAGAAGCAGAAATCAAAGGCAGAAAATGATCCATGCGCAGGGAGCAGACTCCATGAAGCAGAGAAAGGGAGAGTAGACTGAGGTTCACCAGAAAGAGGGCCGCACAGTGATGAAGAGCAAACTTGGGTTTGGCTAGCAGCAATTAGCTCCACAACCCTCAACAGGGTAGGGTGTCTGAACTTCAATTTTATTATTGGTAAATGGGGGTGGTAATACCCATCTCACAGGATTATTATGCAATTATAAAATGAGATAACTAAATATATGATATAGCCACATCAAAGTGAACAAATATGTAAGCTATTTTTAATAGATTCAACTGAGCCTCTGATGTGAAGTTACTGTGGCAATAAGTGATGTCACTAAGAAGAGCACTGTACCAAGTAACACGTGAATAAGGTAGAAGGCATTGGGGTTAAAGTGCAAGTTCAAGCCATGTGGTGGTCTAGAGCAGGGTCATAGTGTCCAGATATGAAATATTTTAGACTTGTGGGCCATACGGTTTCTGTTGCAACTACTCAACTTTTCTTGCAGCATAAAGCAGCCATAGACGATACGTAAATGAACAGGGATGGCTATGTTCCAATAGAACTTTATTTACAAAAACAAGCAGCTGGTCCAGAGGCTATGGTTTGCAGACTATGGACCTGGAGGGTCAGAGACTACAGGTTTGCACAGAGCCCAGAATATCTGCCGGTCTTTATAAGTTTCTGGTTAGTTGTCAGGTACCAGAAAAAGTGAAAAAAGGGAAATGCTAACCACGTTTTCAATACACGTGTTTTGTCTAGAATGAACATGTTTCTGGGGGCAGTGAAACAAAACACCTGAAATTCACACTGTTCCAGAACAGGTTCTTCAGGGCACATTATAATAAAAACGAAAAAAGGAGTTAATGCTTAGTTGTATGGTAACCATGTGCTTGCGTGGTAACATTGCATTGTGACAGGAAATCATCTTGCTGGGGAGGCATGATTTCATCTATTATACACAAAGCAAAACAAACAAATAAAAAAACGTTGTAGTTTTACATTGTTAACTTAGTTTTAGTTAATTTGATCTTAATATAGTTTCAACAGCATTCTCTTTATTAGTGTTTGCACGGCATATCTTTTGTATATCTTTTTAATTTCAATCTTTTTTATATGCCTAGGTTTAGATGTGATTATTATAAATAGCGTATATTATTTTTTATAGTCTAATAATCTTTGTCTTCTAACTGGAACATTTGATCCTCTTACATTTAATGTAATTACCAATAAATTTCAGCTTAAATCTATAACTTACTATGTGCTTTCCATTTGTCCCTCTAGTGCCATTACTTTTTTCTTTTTAAATTACCTTTTCCTGTTATCTTTTAGATTGATTCTTTTCTTATAATACTATTTCCCCCTCTTTAATTTTGAATGTAATATATTCCTTTGTATTCTTTTAATGGTTATCCCAGAAACTACAAGATATAAGATTGACTTATCAAAAATCTAATATTAATACTTCTGGACAAAGAAAGTACCTTAAAACTGTTTAACTCTATTTACTCCTCTCTCAACTTATTTGTTACTCTTTTTTTAAATGCATTCTAATTCACTTTATTTAGGTTTAAACCTCAAAGAACATTATTAATATTATTTTGTTGAATCAATGTACACATATTTGTCACTTTCCTCTTTTGCTTTTTTCCTTCCTGACTCGGAGGCTCCTTATGGAATCATCTTCATTCTGTTTAAACAACAGCTCTTGAAAGTTTCTTTAACACAAAGCTGAAAATGAGTAACTCAATTTTTAGTTGTCTGAAAATGTTTCTATTTCATATTCATTCTCAGAGGATATTCACGCTGGGTATGTAATTCTAAACTGGCAATTATTTTCTTTCAGAACACTGAAAGCATTATTCCAATGTCTCCTGACTTCCATTACTCTGTTGAGCAGACCTTTGTAACTTTAATTGTTGCTCATTTGAAACTAATCTGTCTTTTTCCTTTGGCTGGCTACTTTTATAATTATCTCTTTGATGTCAGAATTCTTCTATTTCATTATGATGTGATTAGGTTATAAGATTCTTATCTTACTATGGATGGATATCTTTCATCAGTTTTAGAAAAATCTCAGTTGTTTTCTGTTCTGATAACGCTTTTCCTGGATTGTCTGTATTCTCTCCTTTTGGGGAGTCCAATTAAATGTTTGTTGGGCTATCTTACTCTAAATCTCCTAATTTTTGTTTCCTCTATCAGTGTTGTATCATAGGCAAATTTTCAGATATATTCCAATTCATGTCTTCTGGCACACTAATTCTTTCTTCAGTTGTATATAATCTGATGTTTAAGTTCTCCTAGAGTATTTTACATCAAAATTTTGTCTTTTACTTTTTTGAACTTGCATGTGATTCTTTTTCAGATTTGCCTGGTGTTTCCCAGAAAATGCTTGTGGTTTATTCATGGATGTGATTCAAACTCTATTTATTTAAATATTGGTTAAAGCATTTCATACTTAGCTACTCTATGTTCTTTACATGACTTTATTGTATGGGGTGTGTGTGTGTGTGTGTGTGTGTGTGTGTGTGTGTTTTGGGCCTGTTATATCTGTTGACTGTCATTCATGATGGTTTTCTTCCTCATGTGTTTGACTGATCTTTGTTTGTAAATTCATATTTTCCTGATAATCATCTATGGAAATCCTGCAGGACTAAATGTGGGATGCCTTCTTCTGAAGATGGTTTGTGTCTGCTTCATCAAGGAGCCAGGGGAGACGATTCCTAGATAAAGTTCAAGAAGCCTGGATTAATGTTGGAGTTTCTGGCTCGGCTCCCTAGCCTTGCTGCTGGTCCAAGGATTGGGATCCCAAATGAAGATCAAGTACTTCTATACATGTTTGCCTTTGGTGCAGCTGTGGACCCTCTGTTTGTTTACTATTGGGGAGGAAGGTGGCTCTGGGTCAACTCCCTCCCAATTTTTTGATGAAGTAGAATCTTTGGAAGATTTCCTCGATTTTTTGTGAGTCTAGCAATGCATGAAAATTACATTTTGTCTGGGACCTGGCAGGGTAGCAGCACAAAGGTCCCCACAGTATCTTCTTGCCACAATGCAGGAAGGAGAAGTCTATATTGAAATTTAACACACATCACACTATCAGAAATAGACCAAACCTTTTCTAATTTAACATTTAGAATTCTTACATTTGGTATATTAATTGGGTTATTCATTTTAATAATTTTCCTGAATTGTTTTTAAATAGAAAAGATCCCCGTGAAGGTTTCAGATTGCCATTTGCAAGCCCTTCTCTGAAAACAATCCACTGTGGGGCTGTCTAGTCTAAAATGCAAATATATGAAAAAGTAAAGTAAAATTTTGGATACAGTCATCCTAATGATATTTTTCTCTTTTAACATTGTTTGATGGAACTACTGGAGATAAAAAGATTGGCTACATAAGAATTTTGATCAGATGGTGAAGAGCATCATGGGATAAATTTCCAGTATCATCACTTTTAAGCCCTGTATTAACTAGTGTGACATTAGTGTTTCTTTTGCTTCCTGTCTTTAAACCACAATCTCTCTCGTTCTACAATAAACAATATAAATTAAGAATTAAAACTATTTAAAACAGTGTCATGGTCAGAATCACTATAGCAGCTGGCACGGTTCAGACGAATGACAAACTGTGTCCTAAGCTTGTCCTGTGTCCAAAATCCAATAACTGCTACCCATTCTCTTTTTTTTTTTTGCTGAGGAAGACTGGCCCTGAGCTAACATCCATGCCCATCTTCTGCTACTTTATATGTGGGACGCCTACCACAGCATGGCATGTCAAGTGGTGCCATGTCTGCACCTGGGTCTGAACTGGTGAACCCCGGGCCGTCAAAGTGGAACGTGCAAACCACTGCGCCATTGGGCCAGCCCCCGCATATTTTAATTTAACATTAGAAGTTTTCATAGTCTCACTTTTTTATAAAAGGGAAGATATAATAAGTAATTATCTAATTGATACAATATTGAAAAGTAGAAATTGAAACATTACCCACAATTGACTTTAACAATTGTGAATCCTTTAGGAAAAAATTCCATGAGGTGAGAGAACCACTTGTTAGGAAACGATTTAATTAAACCCTCTCAGTTTTTAAGGTTATAAGTAAAAGTTAATGTCAGGAACAGAATCTAAACCCAGAACTCTTGACTACCAGTTTAGCAAATAATCTGAGTCTGTGCATTAACTACTTTGCCAACCTCTTCTCCAACTTTAAACATGTCAATTCATCCTATTGTGATGACTCCAGAGGTGACACTGTTTACTCTTAATTTCTAGCTCTTTTTCCATTCACTGTCATTTACTTTGAAGTCTTCTTTTTACTTTTTAGTTTTATGATATCATAAAATATTTCTATGATATTATTTTTAAGCCATAAGTAATTTAATATATTTGTTTTTGAACCATTTCCTTGTCCGTTAATTCAGACTGTGGAGGCTTTATCTTTCTGTTGAATGAACCCTATCTCAGAAGATACTACCATGATCTTACATTTGTTGCTAGGTAGATCCAGGTGATCTCTGGCCCCTGAGACTTGTGGATTATACCTCTGCAAGTCATTCCTACTGACAGGTACAAAACCACTGACCACCTCATTGGCTTCACTAATAACCTACTCCATCACTTAATGAGATTTGCCTCTTCTAACATCTAGAAAAGTTAATCATGCAGTATTTATAGTCCTTAGAGAATATCTATTAAATTACTGAATTTCTGTCTACAACATCACTTGTTCTCAAGGTCATTTCCTCAGGGAAAAAAAAATTATGTGCAAGAAAACACTTAAATCATCAGCTGGAATGTGAGTTCCCCAAAAAGTCCATTCTCCTTTCTCATGGCATGATACATTCCTTTCCCTAAGCTTGCTTTCTCTGGAACTACCTAAGAACATGAGCACACAGAGAAAATTAAATTCTTACTTAAACTCAAGAAGCAAACATTTCCCAAAATGACAAGATTCCCCTCCTTTCCACTTGAGTCGTAAACATTTCTCTACATGCCAGTGCCCTTCTATTTAGCTAGAATTTTAGTCAGCAGTATTTTGTTTATTTGTTCAGGATCGTGTATGTTTTTTCACTACATCTATGATACTTCATCACCTGAACACCTGCTGAACCAAACTTGTCTTGCCAGCAAAAAATTTTGAAATTATGCAATCTGCAATTCAGTCCATGGCAAGCACTTGGGTAGAATTTCTTCTATACCTTTCAACATACCTAACAACAATTAAAGAACAGCCTGCATAGAAATATCACCAACTGGAAAGTTAGTGAAGCGAGTTTAATCAGGTGAACTTGACTAACATTTTAGCTAAGGGCTTTTCAGAGACTCATAGTAAATAAGTACCATAATCATTTTCTATCAAATTAATCTTAACATTAATAGAAAATTTTATGAATATATTAAAAGGAAAAGCAGTATGATTATGTGATCTCAATTAATAAAAATAACTTTTTCACTTATCACAAAGTTCTCATATATATATACAGGCTATAAAGACAATGTAAAAGACTATTGAAAGGGCTACTGAATAATCAGCCATGATAACTGGAAAAATATATTCTTGAAGAAAGGAAAACAACATCTCAGTAAGTTATGTTTTACATGGAAAATTTTAAAATAGGAAACAAGTATATTTTTAAACATGTAAACACTAATATATAACTAGCAAAAATTTGTAATAAAAAATAAATATAAAGCTTTATAACCAGGCTATCTGAAAGATTTTTACTGAAATAGTTCATAATTAAATATAAGTACTGAAAGAATTCAAGTAAGTGAAATGTTAAAGTATAACACTCTCATTTGTGAAACAGTTTTACTCAGGTTTCTAAGACTAAGCCAGTTAACTTCCTATTCATCATAAAAATCAACAAGAAATAACTGAAGTTATCTGAATTAAAAGCACATCTTTAAAAAGATCAAAACACATTTTAAAGAAAAACAGACCATAAATAAATTAAATAATTTATTCATAAATAAGTTAGAAGTTTTCTCAAATACTTTAAGTTGATATATAGGCATTAAAAACAGCAACTAAAGTTTTTAAGAGATGAGTTTAGCTTTCCAGCCAAGGAAGACGGATTGTTAAACCTGACTTCATTTCTGTTAATCAACATATATAATAACTTAAACAACAATTCTGTGTCTGAATGTGGACATTATGTGAGAGTTGTGTCTAAGGATGTGAAAAGCATAAAAAAAGAGAATTCCCTGTTTCCTTTTGGATGCTGCAGACAACAGCAACACAGCCTAGGGCACACTGCTGCGGATTTTAACTGTTGTATGGAACTACTCAAAATGCTTTTGATCCATTTTATCTTGCAAGTTAGCAAAGAAATGTTGCAATAAGAAACACCAACAAAGATCTGAAAAAGTTAAGCTCTGGATTACCATATTGTGTTCTCCTGCCATTCAATGCTTCATACAAAGGCAGTGGTGTTCAAAGTAAGGGGAAAAAAAGTGAAGGGAGAGAGAAAAAAGAGAAACTGGTCTCAGAAAGCGCAAAGCACAAAGTCAATAATATTCCTCTACATCCCTTCTTTTTCACAGATTGGATGTTAAAAGAGTTGCAGCAATTAGGCTTTTGTTAATTACCAGCTGTTGAAACAGATGTGTGGACTATCCTTATTAGTCAACAGCTGGGTGAGAAGAACAATTGATGCTCCCTAAAACCAACAGCCAGCTGCTCTGCAGTAATTATCTCCAATTAATAATACAGGTGATAAAGGCAAAAAGCTCCTATCCCTCTGTTTCAATAACTTGGGCAGTTTCAATAACAACGGCTTTATCATTACACAGTGATAGAGAATACATTTATGACGGCAAGTAAGGTTGTGTATCAGAGCCGCGTTAAGTCTATGGTAGTTTCCATTATGCAACTCCTGGAGAAGGAATCAGACAAGTGCTAAAAGTAGAAGCAAACATTCTGTGGGCTTTTATTTATCACATTTCAAATGTCACTGCCGACTTCCTTCTCTAGTACTGACAATAACAGCTAAGCACTTAAGTTCCTTGAAAAAGAGAAGCATAACTAAAATCTGCTCTTTTTGATTTCCAGGTGTTTTCGCTGATCACGTTTTATATGCAGTTCACTGCCTAAAGAACAGTGTCTTGTTCCCTAGCTTACATTTCCTAGGTGACGGGTAGAAGCAATTTTACCAAACCAAGCAATTTCATAGCAGTACACATTCTTTCATGTGTAAAGAGACATCAGCAGAACAAACAAGAAAACAAAAAATAAAACCGAATCTCATTTTGTAGACACCATCTTATGATATCACATATTCAAGTTTCTAATTATCATGACGTTAAAAAAGAAATATCACAATGGAGCATACTAATAAAATAGCAATAATTACATGTTTAAAAATTACTTTTGCTATTTTCTATTGTTAAATGTTCATATTACGATTTCACTTAAAAGAAATGTAAAACAAAGATTTAAACATGCCAGGCATCCATCTCTATCCTACAAAAGAGGTGTCCTCAAGAATGTACAACCATATCTATTCACTAATTAGAGAACACTTAAAGACACTGCCTTTCTGAAAACCAGGATTAGAGCTGGATGAATACACCCCTTTCACAAACCTTCCTCACGTCTCTGTTGGGTCATCATAAGCAGCTTGTTCTTCCAGCAGTAAATAGAAAAGCCTACCGATTATCAGTTCTGGACGCCTCCGTCAGGCATCAGGACAATTAATAGGGACAGAAACTTTCAACAACATGCAAATAAATCATTTCATCAAAAGAGATTCTAATGAAAAAATGAAGAAAAACAAACTTCCTAAAGCATTATTACTTATGTTGCCACTTGGGCACTAGGGCTTTCCGATATGAA